CAGGTATGTTTTCAGATGCTTTACACTATTTTATTTTGACTAGGGTTATTACATCATATCTCTTATGCAAATTGTTCCATTTGTAGAATTTCTCACATATATCTCTCATAATGATCTGTTCTCTGTAGAGTGGCAAGCGAGTGCGCCTCTCACAGCAGATGCTGATGGACTGCACATGGGCAGCAGGGAACAACGGGTGTGACGGTGGCGAGGAATGGAGAGTTTACGAGTGGCTCATGAAGAACGGAGGCATCCCGCTGGAAGAGACCTACGGACCTTACCTTGGACAGGTGTAATTTATTATCAGGAGTGTTTCATAGTTTTGTCTTTAAAGCCCATCTGCATCAGTTTGGCCAGGAGGGATTAGACCTCCCTGCATGGTCACTGACAGGTGGCTATCTCATCAAATCAGCTCTCAATGAACATTAGGAAAAGGTGACCATGGGGGACCAATGGTCACAGATTAGGCATCGTTTGCTATATAGAGGGCTTAAGTAGCTATAAGTGCGGTAGTGCAGTGGGGCTTTAAATACAAGGACTTGTATTTTTATATGATATTTGTAGTTTGTATTCAGATTTTTTTTCTCCAAAGCTTTTGAATGTTCAAGAATTTTAAGGTTTACATGTGTATTTCTGTCTTTAAAAACACCCCGGGTACAGACTGTTTTCATTAAACAGCTGGCATTAAGTCTACTGTCCTGTAGCCAATCACAGCCTGTTATTATTATTTATTTATTTATTTTTTTTTTTTTTTTTTGGGGGGGGGGGGGAGGGCGCTGTGTTCTATTAGCTTCTAGATAATTAATGTTGTCAGGTTTTTTGGCTTTATGTTCATTCCTTGCGATTTACTCTGATGAGTGCAAAAGCAAAAGGAAAAAGCTTTAATATGTCTGTATTCATTACTATTCTTTGATTTTGTAGTACCAATCATCTCTTTTAATATATCATTCAGAGCAGTTTGCTATCAAGGCCCACTAACTCCTTATCTCGATCACTTGAACAGAACTGAAATTATACACTTTAATGAATTTGGCTGATTACATAACGCATTTGATCATCTTTTGCATTGTTTAAATTCCTCTGTAGGCTCTCACTCATAGCAGACTATTAAAATAGTCTGAAAAAGAAAATAGTCAAAAATCATCGCAGATACAGTAACAAGAAAACCAGTCTGCATTCTTCTTTCTGTCAAATCTCTAACCCCTTTTAATTTCTCTCTCCTCTTCTTAGAATGGGATGTGCCATTATGGCAAGTCTACGCCGGCTGTAGCGAGTATCAAGAAATACTACAACGTGACCTCCGGTAACCAGAAGGACCTCAAGAAAGCTCTGGCGACCAAAGGACCTATCGCTGTCGGCATCGATGCTGCTGTGCCCTCTTTCAGCTTCTACTCGTACGGGACATATTATGATGCTAGCTGTGGTATGGAATTTCTTTCTCTTTTTCTTCGTGTTTTTTTTTTAATTTTCCTCCTCCTCCTTCTTTTTATTGCTCTTAGTATTATTATTTGTCTTTTTATTCTCTGACTTTTCCTCATTTACATCCTTCTTCTTCTTCTTCTTCTTCTTCTTTTCTTCTCTTTCTTCTTCCTCATCGTCTCCTTCTTTTCTTCTCTTTCTTCTTCTTCCTTGTCTTCTTCTTCTTTTCTTCTTCTTCTTCTTCTTCCTTGTCTTCTTCTTTTCTTCTTCTTCTTCTTCTTCTTCTTCTTCTTCTTCTTCTTCTTCTTCTTCTTCTTCTTCTTCTTCCTCATCGTCTTCTTCTTTTCTTCTCCTTCTTCTTGGACCTTCAGGTACTTTTGACATCTTCACCTCCATAACAAAATAATCAGGTACCGCCCTTTGAGTCGGTGTTGTTCAATTAAAATGTGAAGGAGCTTTGCTTGGATGTGATAAACACATACCGGTACTGCCAGACCAATCCAAAACCGACAATGAACAACAATACCGGTAAATGAAAAGTCTGGGCCATGTTGGGTAAAGCAATCGTTTGGTCTGTTGTTATTTATCTGTGTCTAATCTTGTCGATATGACGGAAGTATAAAAGCTACATGCCAAAGTTGATTGAATTCTTTGAAAATTATTATTATTATTGCAGGAAATACAGTAGATGATCTTGACCACGCCGTGCTGGCCGTTGGCTACGGGACGGACAGCAGCGGTCAAGACTACTGGTTGATCAAGAACTCCTGGTCCACCCATTGGGGCAACAATGGTTACGTGGCCATCAGCATGAAGGATAACAATTGTGGTGTGGCTACAGCTGCTACCTATGTAGAACTAGAGAAAAACTAGAAGGATGGTAACCACTATGTCACAATAACATGAATTCTTGTGTAGAAATAAGTTAAATGATTAATTAAGAAATATTTCTTTCCTCACAAGAACGAAGGCCCAAAATTTGATGTTGCTATTGCTGCTAGTTATGTAGAACTTAAGTAAAACAAGTATGTCACACTAACAATATATCTGTAATAGGAATGAGGGAAATGATACGTTATGAATTTTGTTTTCTTAATCAGTATGAAGGACCCAAACTTTGTTGTACTCTTGTAGACTTTAGTATTAAGATGGTAAGGATTTCGTGACAATAATACCAATAGGGTAGTCGTATACAATAAAGGGTAGTAAGTTCACCACTGAATAGTTCATGTATACCAACATTTATGAAGAAATCCTAATTCATCTCCTTTACAACTTGCTAAATATTTAGAACTGAAGTAAATGAATGGTGATATAATGTTTCCTGATTTAGGATGGATGTGATACTTTTGTAGAAATTTAGATGAAGGGATGGTATGAGTACCTTTCATGTGATATGGTCACACATTTATAATTTTGCAGCAGTCTAAAAACTTCTAAAGTAAATGTTTGAATAATTTGTTGTCTTTCGTCAAGTGTTTGTAAATGTTATGTGGTTAGAGGAAAGCTTAGTATATAAAGAAATCTATTTCTTACTCTATATTAGGTTAAGGCGTTGACTACTGAATGTTCTCCTTCCCATAGGCTTAACATCAGGACCGTACAGTTCCCATAGACAAAGGGTTAAGGTGTTTGTATCTTGATGTTATACCAATATGTATGAGTACTTGTGATGCTTCATTATTGCCTTTAATAAATAAAAAATCATAGAAATTTATTTACTAAATATGGTGCAATTATTAATTATAGAAACAAAAGAAAGTAGAAGGTATCTATGTCAATTTTCCAAAGAGTTATACCAGAGAAGGTCAAAAGAAAGAGGCTGTTGTTTAAAACTTGAACGGATTTGATTATCTTTTTATGGAACAAAAAGATGATTGCCTTTCTATGCTTTAGTTTGATCTGAAATAAAGACTTGTTCTATTTTGGGCATGGTAATGGTGCACTATTGTGAATGTATAGTATTTTTGTTCAATAAGTAGAGTTATCATTGTTATAGTTAGTGGTTCTAAGGACAATCTATGTTTGTTTGAAGGTGCACTTTAAAAAAGCAAATATGGGACAATCATGTGATAGTTGTGTGACTTGTGTCCACATCTATAAAACATATATATTGAAACTTGTGTTTATGTTTGTATCGACTTCTCTATACATAATGATTGGGATTTAATGAATACCTACACATTTCTTTTGACAATCGTACAAGTATAATATATCTTGAAATGTTGACATTTCCAGCTATGATTGGTAATTTTTCTAACATATATGTGAAATATTTCTTATTTGCACATCGATCAAAGAAATTTGATAACTAGATTTAGAATTAAAAATTACCCATTACAATAATTATGATTTAAATGATTTCATGTCCTATGCAATAAGTGAATCTACCTTGAAGTGATTTAAAAATACACTCTCAGTACTTCTTAATCTTTTAATTCAAAGAATAAACTACAGTGGACTGAGTTCCAGCTACAAATCATTCAATACATACTGAGTTTCAAACTTTATTTTGCCTGAAAATCAGATGAGTGGGCAGAAAATGTAATATATGTTCATTCTTCATTAGTCTTAATTGGCTTGGGGGGGGGGGGGGGGGGGGGGGGGGTGTAATGCTCCTCCTTATAGATCATGCATACTTTGTGTTGATATTAGTCCATTGTAGAAATAATGTTTGTATTTCTCTTGGGATATTGCAGTATATTAATATTAATGATAACATTTATTTTTTGTAAAAATTTCATAAATAAAAATTAAGAAATAAAATGAAAGCATAAAATGCATGGAGAGTTGAATTAATTATAAGAATTTCAGTGTAATGGATTATTTTATTCTCCTGTATCCTGTATATATTTATGTGTCCTCTATCCCTCGATCCCCCTCCTTCCCCGGTCACTTATTTTATTATTTCTAAATTTTAGTAGCATTTTGACAAGTTGACATAATTGCATTCTCCCTGTTTCCATCAACTACCAAATTAAAATTTAGTAACATAGAATCACAAATGAGAATAACGCATTACAAAAATATATTTAAGACATAAATACAAATAATTCAACAAAGAAATACATGTGCCTGCATATGACAAAGAAATGGGAAATATATGCAGAGTATGACCAGCCCAATTAAGAAAAAGACACTAGGCAAACAAGAATATGTAACACACATTTCGAAATAGAGAGAAGCAAATATAGCTGCAGGAGAGGAGATCGGAGAACAGAACAAATTAATAAGTAGTGAGAGAAATTTGAAGAGAGCACTATATGAGAATAAAACAAGTTGGAAGTGAATGCGAGCTAGAGATAGGGGGGGGGGGGGGGGGAGAAAGCGGAAAAGGCTCACTAGCAATCGAGGTAAGTTGAAGGGAGATATACTAACAGGCTTGTTAAAGAAGAAGAGAAGGAGGATGAGGAGAAAAATATCCCCCCCCCCCCAAAAAAAAAAAAAAAAACAAAAAAACAAAAAAACAAAAAAAAACAAACAACAAAACAAACAAACAAACAAAAAAACAGTCGGCGAGATCGAAAGAAATCAAATTGAATTACATAACAGTTGAATGTAATGCACCTGTTATATCGTCCAATCGCGAAGCTATGGTCTGATCACGTGATAGGTTGCTAGCCAAATTGTTTAAACCGATCCAGGATCCAGGGCCGAGCCTCTTTTTCTTTCCGTCGCCAACTGAGGTAATATTTCACTCTTTAATTGATTTGTCTGAAATTTATTGCAATATCTGTGTAAAATGGCCGTAAATTATTATGATTTTACAGTCATTTGGAATTTGATGGCATCAAAACGTCTTTTGTTAACGTTGTTGTTGTGCCGTCGCTCCTTTTGCAATTTCCCACAACAGTCCCACACACCGAATTTCAAGTTTGTTTTTATTTCTAACGAGTTTAAAATCCCGTTTGCTCTGTAGTGTGTGGAACGACTGTGGGGTGGCCTGTGGCTTGTGACTTCGTTGTTCTTAAACGGGGTGTAGCATGTCAAATACTGGTTAATTCCATCTATGACTTCTTTTGGACAACTGCACGTAAACGAATGGACTTGATTTAAAACGGTCAGCGCACGCTAGCGTTCGCGAAACAGACCAAAGTTCCAAACTCCAAAGGGCAATTCCACAATTGGTAACGTTACATTTAAGCAAATTTTCATAATTTCATTTTACTACTACATCACCATCTATTCATTTCAAGTCACAATCATGTTACAATATGTTCACCCACCCTAGGTCTATAATATAAAAAAGAATGAATAGAGTCTAGATCTACAATTGAACAAATATTAGAGTCGCCATGGTAACTTTAATGTTGGTTGGTAACGTTACAAAAAAAGGACATGCGAAAAAAATCAGTGTCTTCAGACCAAAAGTTTCCTAAAACGCGAGATACCTCAAACAAAGTGTCGTATTCATTTCAATTCTAGTGTCATGATAAATATTTCAGCCAATAATTTTAGCAGCTTGACTCTTCAATTTTTTATTAGACCCAAAATTCATGGTTGGTAACGTTACCGGTTGGTAACGTTACAGTTTGTCCATGCAGAAATAAGCGTTGTAAAAAGCAAGTGTTAAACCTACTCCTTCCTTAAAATCAAAAGATACACTTTGCAATTACATATAAATTAACATAGTTATCAATGTGTAGCGGCTCTTACATTCGCCCTACTTTTATCGTACATTCATGTCTCCTGTATTTTTCCATCACGGTACTTATTTATATGCATTATTCGGACCACGTGTGTTTTTCCTTCCAATCGCGCATCGTGGTTCCGCACTGTTCACCCCGCGTATTTCAACGCCACGAGGTTTTTCTCCACTCCCGCTTTCACCTTGGTCGAGTCAGGACGTCTCCGCAATTTCCTCTCCAGGCTGTATTCTTCTGTGCCTTTCGTCTTTTCTACGGCAGGTCAACTCTTTCCCTGCCGTGTTCATCGGGCTGCAGTCTCCCAGTTGAACGTTATAGTCAGCACCGACATGGCGCCTGACTCTCCGCTGGGAGCTGCCAGTTTCTTCGTTCCGGTAGCTCTTTCCACTCACGAGCTCATCATTTCACCGCAGCTCATCTAAACATTTCTTCATCAAAGTCCGGCGCATCAAACGAGCAACTATTACTACTCAGCACCAGTGCCGGCTTTGCATGTCTACGTTTCTACTCTTCGCCTCCGTCGTCGAGCGCCACATCTCGTCTCTTCTCTTCTCGCCTGAGAGCTTCTTCACATCTTCATTACGAGCGTCAACGTCGAGATTCTTCACGGCTCTTCAGCCACGACTACGAAGCTTCATCTCCGCCTTCAAGCCTCCGCAGCATTCATCGCGTGAGCCCCTTCCTTCGTTTTCATCTCTCTTCATCTTCATTGGACTTTCGACCTCATTTCTATCCTGTCGTAAGCTTTTATGTCATTACATTTCATTCAATAATGTCCATTTACCATTTTATGTCGTGATGTAGTACGTTCACCAATGATATCTCTAAAGTGGTGACCCCTCGTTTACTTTGAAGCTTGGTTGTACGATTTTATTATTCCCAGACTTTTTGGACTTAGCAATGTTTTATCAAATGTATTCATTCTGGATTATGTATTGAATGTTTTTATGCTCTTGCATTTATACACGTTTATTCGATGCATACCATGTCAGTACTCAATGTTCTATTTTTGGCAACTAAACAGCCGTTCGCATACCATGCTTGTTGTTTACATTCTTTCAACATGCCATGCTTGTACATTTTCTTAGGCTGTTGTAAATTACTGCATACACTATGCAATACATGCACTTTTACATTTTTATCAGCCATCGATTCTTGTGACATTTTGTACTTTGCTCATGTATTTCTTTCGCCTCTCATCTGTGTATTGCATACACAGCTTCAATTCTGGCAGGGGAGTAATGTAGCGGCTCTTACATTCGCCCTACTTTTATCGTACATTCATGTCTCCTGTATTTTTCCATCACGGTACTTATTTATATGCATTATTCGGACCACGTGTGTTTTTCCTTCCAATCGCGCATCGTGGTTCCGCACTGTTCACCCCGCGTATTTTCAACGCCACGAGGTTTTTCTCCACTCCCGCTTTCACCTTGGTCGAGTCAGGACGTCTCCGCAATTTCCTCTCCAGGCTGTATTCTTCTGTGCCTTTCGTCTTTTCTACGGCACGTCAACTCTTTCCCTGCCGTGTTCATCGGGCTGCAGTCTCCCAGTGGAACGTTATAGTCAGCACCGACATGGCGCCTGACTCTCCGCTGGGAGCTGCCAGTTTCTTCGTTCCGGTAGCTCTTTCCACTCACGAGCTCATCATTTCACCGCAGCTCATCTAAACATTTCTTCATCAAAGTCCGGCGCATCAAACGAGCAACTATTACTACTCAGCACCAGTGCCGGCTTTGCATGTCTACGTTTCTACTCTTCGCCTCCGTCGTCGAGCGCCACATCTCGTCTCTTCTCTTCTCGCCTGAGAGCTTCTTCACATCTTCATTACGAGCGTCAACGTCGAGATTCTTCACGGCTCTTCAGCCACGACTACGAAGCTTCATCTCCGCCTTCAAGCCTCCGCAGCATTCATCGCGTGAGCCCCTTCCTTCGTTTTCATCTCTCTTCATCTTCATTGGACTTTCGACCTCATTTCTATCCTGTCGTAAGCTTTTATGTCATTACATTTCATTCAATAATGTCCATTTACCATTTTATGTCGTGATGTAGTACGTTCACCAATGATATCTCTAAAGTGGTGACCCCTCGTTTACTTTGAAGCTTGGTTGTACGATTTTATTATTCCCAGACTTTTGGACTTAGCAATGTTTTATCAAATGTATTCATTCTGGATTATGTATTGAATGTTTTTTATGCTCTTGCATTTATACACGTTTATTCGATGCATACCATGTCAGTACTCAATGTTCTATTTTTGGCAACTAAACAGCCGTTCGCATACCATGCTTGTTGTTTACATTCTTTCAACATGCCATGCTTGTACATTTTCTTAGGCTGTTGTAAATTACTGCATACACTATGCAATACATGCACTTTTACATTTTTATCAGCCATCGATTCTTGTGACATTTTGTACTTTGCTCATGTATTTCTTTCGCCTCTCATCTGTGTATTGCATACACAGCTTCAATTCTGGCAGGGGAGTAATGTAGCGGCTCTTACATTCGCCCTACTTTTATCGTACATTCATGTCTCCTGTATTTTTCCATCACGGTACTTATTTATATGCATTATTCGGACCACGTGTGTTTTTCCTTCCAATCGCGCATCGTGGTTCCGCACTGTTCACCCCGCGTATTTTCAACGCCACGAGGTTTTTCTCCACTCCCGCTTTCACCTTGGTCGAGTCAGGACGTCTCCGCGATTTCCTCTCCAGGCTGTATTCTTCTGTGCCTTTCGTCTTTTCTACGGCACGTCAACTCTTTCCCTGCCGTGTTCATCGGGCTGCAGTCTCCCAGTGGAACGTTATAGTCAGCACCGACATGGCGCCTGACTCTCCGCTGGGAGCTGCCAGTTTCTTCGTTCCGGTAGCTCTTTCCACTCACGAGCTCATCATTTCACCGCAGCTCATCTAAACATTTCTTCATCAAAGTCCGGCGCATCAAACGAGCAACTATTACTACTCAGCACCAGTGCCGGCTTTGCATGTCTACGTTTCTACTCTTCACCTCCGTCGTCGAGCGCCACATCTCGTCTCTTCTCTTCTCGCCTGAGAGCTTCTTCACATCTTCATTACGAGCGTCAACGTCGAGATTCTTCACGGCTCTTCAGCCACGACTACGAAGCTTCATCTCCGCCTTCAAGCCTCCGCAGCATTCATCGCGTGAGCCCCTTCCTTCGTTTTCATCTCTCTTCATCTTCATTGGACTTTCGACCTCATTTCTATCCTGTCGTAAGCTTTCATTCATTATGTACATCGCATTTATTCATGTTCATTCTTATCTTTGATCATTATAATGTAACTACGTGCAATATCTTCAATTCTCATTTATGCATTCTCATTCCGAATCTTCGGCTTGTGCTTGACTACACTTTGCAAGTGTACGTCAGCCTCATCAGTACCCAATAAACATAACGAAAAGGGAATACTTTCTTTCATGTATTTTATTGTCAGTGCAACCTTGCTTCCTCGTAGCTAAAATAAAAATAAGAGTTATGTTGTGTGACGAGTGAACACGCTTTCAAATATCCATTCACAATACCTCACACTCATATCTCTAAAAATGTAACTGTTATTTATAACTCCAACTCACAATTTGAAACAATCCAAACATATTTACAACACTTTTTATCCAAATGTTACATTCTGAAGTTCACCATTTGTCGTGGGATTATGCATGTCAACATACATAATAACTTGATTTCACAAAGTAACTATTTTATTGAGAGAATTTTAACAGAGTTCATGACATCATGACAGAGACATTGAGCAGATATTCAGTCCATAACACAATAGAATGATAATGTGTTGTTTTGTTCCATAATCCAATGCATGTATTTTATGTACAAATGTACTTGATACCATACAAATCTAAAATTTGAAAAGCCCACGGTTATTAACAACTTCTTTAACGAATGTATTTGCCGTCGATTTAGACCTGTACTCCTTCCTTAAAATCAAAAGATACACTTTGGAATTGCATGTAAATTAACATGGTTATCAATGTAAGTGTTATTTATAACTCTTACCCAGACACAACTTGAAACAATCCAAACATATTTACAACACTTTTTATCCAAATGTTAGATTCTGAAGTTCACCATTTGCCATGGGATTATGCATGTCAACATGTACATGATAACTTGGTTTCACAAAGTAACTATTTTTGTTGAGATAAGTTTAACAGAGTTCAGAATAAAAATGTGCGGTTGTATTCCATAACCCAATGCATGTATTTGATGTAGGGCCTACTTGATACCATACAAATCTAAATTTGAAATGCCCACGGTTGTTAACAACTTCTGGAGGAGCCAATTTTGTAATCATCTTGCTCTCCATGTAGAAAATGGCATCCTTTTTTGTAGGCCATTTCCAGTACTTTCCCACTGGCTCCATCACTGACACCTGAAACTCACCCTTGCGTGTGAACCCAACAACTTCACCAGGAAATTTCTTTCCTTCGTACTCGACCACATACCAATCTCCCACTACAATGGCCTTACCAGTGGCGGATCCAGGGGGGGGGCCCGGGTCCCCCCCTTGAGAAAAAAATAATGTAAAATCACGTGATTTTTACCTTTTTTGGGGGTTGGGCCCCCCCCCCTGGCGCTCAAGGGGGGGGGTGCAAATTGAAAAATTTTTGAGGATCTAAAAAAAAAAATGTGCTCACTACCCCCCCCCCCCCCCCCCCCCCCCCCCACTGAGCGAATTTTTGGCCGGCGCGTTTTTCAAATTTTCGGAAGCAAAAAAAAAAAAAAAAAAAAAAAAATTGTGCTCTGTACCACACCCCCCCCCCCCCCCCTGAGCGACTTTTCGGCCGGCGCGATTTGAAAATTTTCGGGAGCAAAAAAAAAAAAAGTTGGGCCCCCTCCCCTAAGAAATCCTGGATCCGCGCCTGGGCCTTACTACCACTTTGGGTAACCACTACATCATCCTTGTCTGCCCTATTGTCTTTTGTGAGAATGTGGGATACCACTTCATCCTTTACGACCTTCAGGAAATGCATCTTTCCGATGCCAGTGATTGGCTTGGCCTGAATGAAAACATCTTTCAATTTGAGCTTCTCATTCCGCTTAGCAATTTCTGTTGACTTGACCTCTGTGACGCATACATTCTCCATGAAGCTTGCTGCTAGAACAAAGCTGCTTGCATCTGCTACAATGTCTTGGCGGCTCAGAACTCTTTGCATCACAAAGCGCTTGGCTGACCCTCCAATCCCATCAACAGGGCCTTTTCCATGGGAGGTCGAAAAGAAGTTCCACTTGATTTGAATCTTGTGAGCCTCTTGAAGTGTGCAGAGTGCTGCTGCCACAAACCGATTTTTGAATTGCGAAGCTGGGCCATCTGACCAGATAGAAATAGATGTTACCGTATCTGGTAGATATCCTAGCAGCACATCAAGGTAGGCTATGATGGTTTCCTTGGAGTGTGTGAGGTCATCAGATGCCAGGATATGAGAATGTAGAGATCCAGAGTACCAGAGTGCTGCAGTGAAGAGGGATACTTGACGTTGATTCCAATGTGCGCTCTGGACTTCATCTTGAGCAACGCATGTAAAATTTTCAGAGAAATCCACCTGGAGGAGGGCACTGTGGGTGTCATGTGATTCAGGAGAAACTTTTTCCCTCTGAGCATTGTATGCTGATGCTTGCTCACGCTTTACATAGCAGTGCTGCAGGAACTGAGGTAAGATGGCAGTGATGTGCTGTACTAGCTCTCCTACAGTTCCCTCCTCTTGAATCTTCATCATCCGTCCATCTTTATCCGTCTCCCACTGAAGCCATGAGCAAGGGCTGTTAAGGGATCCCTCAAAAGAGAAGGCTTTGCTAAATCCTGCTCCATCTTTGCATTCTGCACATTCATTCATCCAGCACTCTCTTGATGGTTGCTTGCAAAGGAGCAAAGCTGGGAGATCACGGGTGTAAGCAGGGAATTCTGGTTGAGCCTTGTGAAGTGCAGTAAAAGCATTAATGGCATTCTCGTGGTACCTGCAGAGACAGACATTATGTGGCAACTTTTGGCTAAGCAGGACATGCTTTGGGCGACACTCTGCAAACTTGGACTTTCCCACATGTACTTCTGGGTAAATCTCACAAAAGAAGGCATATGTCTCTTTAATTGAAGCAGTGAGGTGTCTAGCCTGCATTTTCTTCTTTCCGTCTGCATTCCAAATAGTCAGTCCTTTCTGCCTGGGGCCTGGCGACTCACATCATCTCTCTCATAGAAGTCTTCGATGACTTTCACTGTATCTTCACTGACTTTAGGAGGACCCGTCTTCCTTTTCTCTGTTGAAGCTGATGGTAGTTCATGTCCTTGCTTAGCTTCTTTCTCATACAACTTGCGAGAGACAACAATTCGCCGTTTAGGAGTGTCGGGGAGTACTCGATCCATTATCCGATGTGCCCTGGCAGTGGCTTTTGCGAGTGCCATCGCACTTTTGAAGGGCCCATGACTTGCTTCTGCTTCTGCTTCTGCCTTTCTTTCTTTCTTCAATTTCCTGTGCTTTGCTACTCGTTTCTTTGTTGCTTCTTTCGTCTCCCTTTCCAGTTGTTTTCTCGCATATTTTGGCAAGGTCCTCTCTCTCAGCTTTTGCTTCTCCCGGCACCTCTTCATGGCTGCTGCTTTTTTCTTCAAGTATTCTTCATACTTCCCCATCCTCTTCATCTTTTCTATGTAGTGCCTTTGTTTCTCTTTCTTCGTAAACTTGGGCATGATGACCTATATATCAAAAAATAATTATAATTTTTTAAAATATTTTTGTACAAACCAAATCTTTAAAAAAAAAAAATAATCAGGATGAACAAAGATTTCCAGATTCGTAATTGGTATTAGAATCCTTCTATTAGTGCGAATCTGGATAAGTGTTGGAAAGTCACCATACAGAAAAATTGATACAATATAACAATTATGAATAAAATCACTTTTTTTTTCTAATTTACAAGAAATCATATAACTTAAAATTCATGATTTCCCATAATATTTAATGTATCCTTTGGAAATTTGAGTAAAGGTCAATTGCCATGTTTTCTCAAAGTGTTAAACAACTGCATTCGGATTAAGATGAAAGTTTCCACGGCAACAAATTAGCCAATGCACATAAAAACAAATACAAAAAAGTTCATTAACCTTCACTTTTTCATTTGCATCTATTCCATCTAGTTGATGTACATGTACATTTGCATGTACATGTAGTTGATACTAAATATTTTATGTACTATCAATTGCCAATGTTGACTTTAAAAAGTGTAGTGTGAACTGTACATACAATGAAGACTGTAGAAAGTAGCCTATAGCCTGATCTTAAAGTATTTCAAGAAACATAAATAAAGATTACAGTTACTACAATTGAAAATAAATAAACTTACCAGATGCTGACACTGGGTGACAGTAGATTGAGATTCAACAAGTTTTGCTAATTAGAACTGCTTTCATGGAGAAAGATTCAAGAAGAGTTTTAATACAGTAAAGATGATTTGACTCTTCCCAAATGTGATGCTGCATGGATTCTACACAGATATGATGCTGCTTAAATCGTCGCTGTTTTCACGAAGTGACGGTAGTGAAAAAAAATTGCATTCACTTTGCGTTACGATTTTCTTCACTACCGTCACTTCGTGAAAATAGGGACGAAATGGTTGTCACATGGCTGTCACATGCCTTTAATAAATGTTCTATACTGCCATCTCTTGTCTTAGTTAAAGAATCACTTCACTTTCTTCTGATTAAGGCTTACAAATAAGTATCTCCTGGCACTAATATCATGGTTGGTAACGTTACAATCCTTAAGCCTGGTTGGTAACGTTACATGGTTGGTAACGTTACAGATTTTGACTGCTAATATTTTCTACATCATAGAATATTTGTAATTCTGGTTCCTTTACTTCAATAGAGCATTGTATAGGAAAGGAAAATTTGAAATATGACAATTAATAGCCCCCAGATTTTCTCTCCAGAAAAATAAATTCATGTTTTGGTTGGTAACGTTACATGGCGTATCAAGGGTTTGGAATTTCGTGAACTGTAGACTAAATCACTTTTTAACTTGAATTTTGCTTAATGAAACCATGAGGGCATTGTACTCCCTCAATAAATTCAATAGGTTTGTGAGGATATACATGTAGTTACTTTTATGTTGATAATGACTTAAATAACTTTTTTTCCTCTTATATTACAAATTTCACAGGAAAACATGAACAATGTTCATTTGCAATTTTCACTCACTTATACCAAATGTATGGTGTGGAAAATATTTTTTTCAGATACTTTGTGGTGTCTTTAGTCAAATACAAAAAAAAAAAAAAAGAAAATTTGAATTCTAAATTTTTTACTCATGTCCACCTAATCATGGAATTGCCCCAAAGTTCTCCTCACACTTCGATTTCGCATAAGTTGCATGCACGTGAATACTGTGGTCATGTCGTCCGTAGTTGTATTATACCTGATTGGCCCAGAGTCAGGCCATGGGAAGACACATAGTCTCGTAATGCTACACCCCCTTAAAGGTGAGCGATTGTGTGAACGGTTTCCATTGAAAACTGCAATCAAGACTAAAAATGAAGTTGAACTTCAGGCGGCTTGTACATTCGTATACAGACATCGGCCCGTAACTCTGGTGTGGAGATACCCTACTACTGACTACTGCTGCTAGTAGTACTAGTATTAGTACTAAAACATACCAACTACACTTCTGAATCTGAGCATTGCAATGATTAAATTAGGTTCAGAAGTGCCAACGTCACACCGATTGATTGTGTTAGATTTATAGTTTGATGAAACGATGCCCAGGTTACCATGACCTTGTTCTGTAGCTTCCCCTGACTATGTTTTATTTTTGGTAATTCTCCTGGTTATTTTTTTTTCTCTCTCTCTATTTCGCTCTATAGTCTATATAAATTTCATCTCTTTTCTTCTTCAATTCTTGTGTCCTTTTTCATTTTATTTCTTTCTCCAGGATTTTGTTCATAGGTCTATATTTTGTTTTTATTTTGTATTGGTTTCCTGGAAATGCACTTTCCTTACTTTTTTGTTGTTGTTGATCATATCATTGATATTCTATTCATCTTGTTTGCCTACAACTACTACCATTAATAACAATACTAGTACTACTACTACTATTTTTAATATTGTAATCATTATTATCATTATTTTTTTTATTTAAAAAATATTTTTTGTTATATCCCTCTGTTTTTCAGACAAGCATTATTGTAGAGACACGATGCAGAACACTTCAAGATGATACGAGCTTCAAAATGATCATTCAAAGAAAACTTGTGCTGTTTTATAACTTCTTATTCAAGCAAGCTGACATCATAGGCAGTGTATAATTCACTTCAGGTAGAGTAGACAAAAACAAATTATCCAGCATCTACTCCTCAGGCTGTCATTAATTTACTTTCCAAGAACAACTATTCTAGTCCCCGCCATTAAAAATATTTTATCCAAATTCCATTTAGATGAAATAAAAACCTTTAATTTACTGATACCACTATAATGTAAATGACCCCCCCCCCCCCGCAACAATTACACTCTAAGAACAACTATATACCATACCTACATGTACAAACAAAACCTTTATTATTTATGTCACTCATGCAGCCCCAGGAATTATGCACTAATTGTTATGGGCTAATAAAGAATTAGAGATAGTTTTTATTTTGGAAAAAAAAAAGAAGAAGCTTTTTTGTTTGCAGTAGCCATTTTTTGTGATTTAGAATTGTATGTGTACACATGTAAGTGTGATTTACACACAGTGGTATTTTAGTATTTGATAGTAATACCACCTGAGCTCTTCATCAGTTTACCAAATACCAGAGCTTTTTTTGAGCTTTCTGCATGGAGCTATACCGCTCACCGCTCCCCATGTAGGTTTTCGCTGGTCATCGCCTCTTCAATAATGTGATATCAATTCCTGCCCCCCCCCCCCTGCCCTCTCCCTCCTGTGGAGATATCACCCAGGGAGTGTTTCATGTTCATGCCACTAGTTGCTCTCACCATTGGTCTCGCAATAATGATCTTTAGATAATATTTTTTCCTTCAATAATGAACTATTAAAAAAGGTAATTTTTTTAGATTTGTGACCACGATGTGTACGTCCCTTGAGAAAACAATGCCAGGAATGGTTAGAGGAACTAGTGGCATGAAAGGCCTGCCATAGTAAAGTTCAACTAAAAGTCGATCTTAGTCTTTGTGAAACACTCCCCAGGAGTAGTAAATAATGTCTGAATGCACCTCTTTATATTTCTTTATGTTAGTCGTAACTCCACAGCTATGGAATGCCGCTTGGCAGGGCTCCTGTTCACCTCCAAGTTTGACTCTGGTAACTTGGCCCGGGTAGAGAGAGTCAGTTCTGACGATGATGAGGACGGGACAGGCCACCGGGTGGGGGATGCCAACGCTGCCCCGGACTACGAGTTTAACCTCTGGACCAATCCAGACTGCGGAGGAACAGAGTTTGAAAATGGCAACAGGCAAGTTTCTCAAGAAAGTTATGACATGAGGGAAAATCTCCATTGAGTGGTATTTCCAGCCTGAATCAATTGAGAGAAGTATCAAATGGTACAAAACCTATCATGGCAGTGATATAATGCTGTGCATTATCCATTATCTTGTTCTCTGTGGGGACCCATAGGCCATATGAGGTTACTATGTGATATATTTGTACTGTTCACACTAGAAATGATGCCACTCTCTACCAAAAATGTTGAAATGACTTATAAATGTATACATATTCATATTCATATTTATTTCATTTCCAACAGAAAGGTAAACAAAGATATTACATTTGATTTCGTACATAATTCATTTTTTCAAGAAACTATACAAATAAACTTTGCACATAATAAAATTACAAGAATTTCTTAATTTCTGAGGAAATGGGGGGCATCCACTAAAAAGCAGCACCCACATGGACTGCAAAATTATATGGGTATATTTTGTATCAAACACATACTCATGTATAGAACTCATTCTTGTGCCTGGCTCAAATTACTTCATGCAATTATAAGAAATAACAGAAAATAGAAGTCTATAATATTTTGCATAGAACCTTCAATTAAAATGGCAAATCAGAAAAAAAAGGCAGGTCACCCAGACTATATGCTTACTGAGTTTAACTTTCTTATTCTTCTCCCAATCATTTCCCTCCCTATGTCGCTTCTCACAGAACCTGGTTCCACTTTGCCGTGAAGGGTTGCCCCATGAACAAACTGATCAAGTTTAACATCATGAACATGAACAAGCAGGGCAAGCTCTACAATCAGGGGCTAGCTCCGGTCGTCAAAGTCCTCCCACAGAAACCCAAGTGGGAACGCATCCGGGACAGGCCCTACCATGAGGTGAGAAAATGTCCAATCTCTCTTTCTTTCTCTCTTTTTTTTTCTCTTTCTCTTCTTTTTGATAATTTACATACATACATGTTTTCATCCTTGTATAATATTTCAGATGAGACATGCAGTAGTATGTTAATATGTGTCATTAAATTGTTATCTTTACTCTTACACTCAATTACACTATAACTTTGAAATTTGTTATCCAATGTATAAACAAATTTGAGAATGATCCTATCTGTTTGGATTGAAATCAATAAAGTTTGAATTTGAATTTGAATTGATACAAGTTCTGACAGCCTCCCCTTCCCCACCCCCAACACACACACACACACTTGATGATGATTCATACCAGTATAAATGTAGGTAGAAGAAATAAATATCATCTATGGAGAGTGAGAAGGCTGTTAACTTACACTGTAACATAGTCAATACCTTCCCGTCTCTCTACTAATGTTTTGCAAAATGTTTTATACACAGTCGGGGTGATCAGAATTTACATGGACAATTTTTGTCGATTAGAATACATCGTCTTGAAGCATTCTATAGACTAGACAAAAGAAGCCTCTATACCTGTACTTGAAGGATTGAACTGTGCAGTACACTAAATTTACTTATATAAACTGATTTGCCCTAGTTCAGAGCTCCACAGACTATAGTATTTTCAAAGGTAGAATCTGTGCTTGCAGATAGAAACTAGAAACTTGCATCAGTGCATAACCATTCAGTCATGCATTTTCATTCTTTCACTCTGCAGACTGTGGATGGTCAGTTCATACTCTCCTTCACCTATCGCTTTGAGTACCGCTTCTCTACGGTCTACTTTGCGTTCTGCTACCCGTATTCCTACACAGAGTACCAGGACAAGTTCACTGAGCTGGACAACAAATTCAGCAGCAGGAATTATGATTCAGGCTGGTAAGTTGATTTTTTCTTTGGGTGGGAGTCTAAGGGTTATGATATTGCGCAAAGGGGCAGGCTCTTTATTGGGTGTTTAAATTTGAAAAAAGGATTTCCCTAAATATGGCCCAATTAAATGATGTGGATTAGAACGAAAAAAAATGTATTTAGGTTGTCAATCACAACAAATGACTAAACGCTAAGGACTAGATATTAGTTATTATCCACAAGTTATTAGTTGGAGGGGGGTGGGGTGAAATCTACTACCTCCGGGAGCTGCTATGCCACTCCTAGTATACACTACGTGTGGACCTCATAACCATCCTACATAGCCACATCTCTGTAACAACAATGTAATAGTATTTAATCCCTCTCTAAATCAAACTCTGTCTTAATTCAGCCCTAACAGTGTAATCTACTACCACCGGGAACTGCTATGTCACTCCTTGGACATTGGACAAGCTCTGTGTGAACCTCATAACCATCTGAAATAGCCACATCTCTCGAACAACAATGTATTAGTATTTTATTCCTCTCTAAATCAAACTCTATCTTAATTCAGCCCTAACAGTGCAATCTACTACCACCGTGAGGTGCTATGCCACTCCTTGGACAAGCTACGTGTGGACCTCATAACCATATCATCTTGCCATGGACTAACCACAGAGAGGGAACCAAGACTGCATAGACTCTTCCCTGATACATCTACACAGAGGGCTAGGAAGTTCAAAGGAAAGAGGGTAAACTTTAACACTTTATTCTCAAGTAATTGTACCTTGCTCATATACATGTATGTAGTATATATCATCTTTACTAATAATAACAACTGGATCTTGGTCTTTCAGGATTTAGCTTGAATAAAGAGATGTCTCAGAATTTGTAGAGTCCTATACTAAGAAGCCAGTTTCCAGTTTTTTTTCTCATATCAGGACTGTCCAAGAACTATGCCAATGAGTTGCAGTTCAATATTATAAACCATATATTTGTATGACCTTTCTTCCAGGTTTATTTCTTGAGTAGTCGTGTTCACCCGGGCGAGACACCAGCCAGTTTTGTCTTCAATGGATTCTTTGACTTCATCCTGCGTAGCAAGGATGAAAGAGCCTGTCAGCTCCGGAAGCAATACGTCTTCAAACTGGTCCCTCTCCTGAATCCTGATGGTGTCCAGAGGGGCTACTACCGCACCGACCAACGGGGCGTCAACCTCAACAGGGTCTATGTGAACCCTGACCCCGAGCTCCATCCGTCCATCTTTGCTGCCAAGAGCGTAGTTCAGCACCATCATGTGAATTCAAGAGTGATGAGGTCATCGGTTGACTCTGGACGAGGTAGGGGAATTCCCCCAGGCGGTGGGGTAACCCCCGTTAGTCATGATGGGATGAGGAGGAATGAAAGGACAGAGGGTACAGACAATGCGGAGGAAGGTACAGAGGTGAGGGCAGAACTAGGGAAGGACAAGTTTGTCATTGAGAAGAAAGGCGTAGGGGCTAATGCAATTCTCGTTGTGCACCGTGGTAGCAAATTAGACAACAGTTCACCACTATTGTCTAATGATGAAGAGAAGAGATACAGTCCTAATGAAGGAGGGATAAACTCATACGGTGATGGATTGACGCCGGGTAATGATTTATTGTTCTTGCCAAACAGTACCTCCCACAATGGCAAAGAGATTTCAAGGGACGATGCATCTGTGGACGATTCTGATGTCGAAAGCGACATCGGCATGAAGACGCAAACCCCCCTGTCTAGCAATCAATCTAACAACAATGCACAGCAAGTATTACCAGTAAACTGTGGGGATACCGACCCAATGTCTATACCCTCAGAAGAAAGTGGTATAGCATTCTACGTTGACCTTCATGGCCACGCCTCCAAGCGCGGCTGCTTCATATACGGCAACTTTCATGAGGATGAGGAGCGACAGACGGAGAACCTCCTCTTCCCGAAGCTGATCGCTATGAACTCTGCGCACTTTGATTTTGACGGATGTAACTTCACAGAGAAAAACATGTACACTAAGGACAGAAGGGATGGCATGTCGAAGGAAGGCAGCGGCCGGGTTGGTATCTACAAAGCAACAGGAATCATTCACAGGTACCATGGTTGTGGTGTCGAGTAAATTGGGCAACAAATTTATATGATTTTTCAACCTCTTCTTGAATATATTGTAGAATTTCTAAGTTATTAACAACAAAAAAGAGAGCAGACTCCCCATGTACTGCTGCTGCATTAACAAAAACAAATTGTATTATTGTTTTTTTGAGGGGGGGGGGGGTTATTTTATTTTCTCAACCATAAGATTTAACAGCTCTGTTTGGAATACCCCCCACCCACTCTGCCTTTATATGCAACATCAATAAGATATTGGCAACTTTAGGGAAACTATACTACATGTACATGTGAAATCTTGGTTTTCAGTATTTCAAAGAGAGAAAGAAAGAAAAAGAAAAAAGGAAGAAAAAATCGAGTATAAAAAGACTAAGAGGCAAGATATTGTTTGCATTTTCAAAGAACCTTGCCTCCAATTTCTGCAGAAATCATATTCACTGAAAAAAGCGATCTTTGCTGAGAGTAATATTATATCATAGTAGTTGTTTCAAAACTGTTCTCACTTTTATCCAGCTACACTCTAGAGTGCAACTATAACTCTGGTCGCTTTGTGAACTCCCTCGCTCCAGCCTCCAATGATGAAGGGAGGGCATCACCGCCTCCCCTGGCTGGGTACCCGCCAAAGTATGGACCCCAACATTATGAAGAGGTAAGTATCGAGGGGTCAGACGTAACTCCATTTTGGCCATTTTGAGAAAAAGTGGTTTATGTGTCACTGAGCATTTGGGCCTTAAGAGGTTAAGTCTATGTTTCACTAGCCATTGGCTTCTATGGGGTGTTGGGTGGAGGTAAGTCTTTGTGTTTCCTGGAAAGCCCACATTTTTCTGAACATTTTGATATCATATACTCATTTTGACAAAATATGGAGTTACGTCTTTGTGTCACTGAACCCTCGATTTGATGTCATTGAATTCAGATTTCAATAACTGTGTTATAGCATTGTGTAGTGTCATATACCTTCTGTTAGGATCCAGAAGCGCTTTTATTCCTATCATTAAATGCCCTTCTGGCTCCTAACAGACAATTCTTGGGCGTCATTTAGCAACTTGGAAGATGTTTGCCATTTAAAAGTATCGTTTATTTGTAGGTGCAATGTGTAAAGGGTATTTTAAAAGCATTCATACACTTGCTTTTATTAATTGTATAATTTGTTTTTCATTTATAGGTAATGCACGGTGTTACAAAATTTCAAGGATTCACAAAATAGATTTCCTTATTTTTTGGACACACCCAGGTCGGGCTCATTACGTAGCATTTCGCTCTGGAATGCTAGTACTATTAAGAAATTGATGTGTACTTTTGATCTTTTAGAAATTTTCTGTCACAGCTATACTTTCTTTTGTTATGGAGTACCTTGCCCTGTGCATGTACCTGGCTCAATAGTAACAAGGGGTTCAAAGGTCATTTACCCTACCTTTGACCTCCACACTACAAAACATCAATATTTCATGAACAGGCCGCCATTGCCAACGTCAATCCAGACCCAGATGAAAAGTAGTTTAGTTACTGTTACGCTGATTTTTATCCATTTTTTCAGGTTGGTAGAGCAACAGCCATAGCTGCCCTGGACATCACAGATACAAACCCTTGGTCTCGGCTGGCAGGCACAGAGAGTGGCAGCGTTCACGGTGTCAGGGCATGGGTTCAACGCTACTTACGAAGCATGCGCGGGGCTCCCTCACTGCCCAAGAAGATGTCAAGGGTTGCTTCGAAAACATCCAGGTACATCAATCTTGTGTCTCACTTTGATAAGGGAAAAACATTTAATACAACAATTTTGGTATTTTTATAATTGAAATAACGGTGCATATTAAGGTAATCAACAATATTCTAACTCTAGATGCAGAAAAAATGGGTAATTTTCTTTTTATGCCTCCGTTACGAAGTAGCCGGAGGCATTATGTTTTCGGGTTGTCCGTCCGTACGTCTGTACGTACGTACGTCCCGTTCTTGTGATCGCGTTATCTGAAGAACCGATTGATGGATTCCTGCCAAACTTTGGTCATGTATGTATCTTGCAGAGCCAATGAACTGATTAGATTTTGGGGTCACGAGGTTAAAGGTCAAAGGTCACAGGGCTCATTATGTATGCAAAAACAGCTCGTGATCGCGTTATCTCAAGAACTGATTGATGGATTGCTGCCAAACTTAGGTCATGTATGTTACTTGCAGAGCCAATGGACTGATTAGATTTTGGGGTCACAAGGTCAAAGGTCAAAGGCCACAGTGCACATTATGTATGCAAAAACAGCTTGTGATCGCGTTATCTCAAGAACCGATTGATGGATTCCCGCCAAACTTAGGTCACGTACGTTACTTGCAGAGCCAATGAACTGATTAGATTTAGGAGTCATAAGGTCAAAGGTCAAAGGCCACAGCGCACATTATGTATGCAAAAAGAGCTCGTGATCCCGTTATCTCAAGAACCGATTGATGGAATCCTGCCAAAATTAGGTCATGTATGTTATATGCAGAGCCAATGAACTGAGTAGATTCTTGGTTCATAAGGTCAAAGGTCAAGGGCTTATTCTGTATATGAGAAATTGCTTGTTATCACGATATTCTGAGAACCTGTCAATGGATTACAATTGAAATTGAATTCAAAAAATTTCTTCTGTTTTGGTTTGTAAAATTGCTCTATGACGGAGGCATCATTGTCGACTGCGCGCAGTCGAATTCCATCTAGTTTCCTCTATATTGTCCTGTATTACACTTTAAGACAACTAATACTTTTTTATGGTCATTTTAGGGTATCTTTTAATGACAATGAAAGTCAAATAAGGGGTAAAAAGAACTGGGTCAATAACATTCAGTAATCTAGGACCAGATTGCAGTTTTGCCTTTAATTTAATACAACCAGTTGATTGATATAGGAAGTCAGTCAATAATCTAAATGGCTCCAATAGTAACAATCTTTTTTTGAATTGTCTTTGTAATATTCCAGTCTTGTTGCAACAGTGATGACTCCTGCAAAACCTAACAGAACAAATCTGTTCCATTCTGGCAACTCCGGCAACAATGCAGGCATCAGTAACACCACAAGCTATTCCAATGCACAACAGAATACAAGCAACAGTCCAAAGAGAAACCTTCATTCCAAACCGTTAGGACCTGTAAGAGGTAAGAATCCACTTACACATTTTAAAAAATGTAAGCAATGGCAACATTTTATTGTTAAAAGTAGAGAAGAGATGTGACTTATACATTTAATTCAATTATTCACTTATGCAGAGAGTGTAATTGTGTCATGAAAGTATTTATTCTACCCCCCCCCCATCCCTTTCTATACGTAGGGAATATCAGGTGGTCTTACAAGTTATAAGCCCTCTGGCCCATCTTTCTATGAAACAGAGGGACAGAATCAGACTTTTGTCTTTCAATTTATAACATTAATATTTGTCCAAAGTAGATGTGACATAAACTAATTTATGTTTTACCCCAATGTTTTCTAGAATCTAATGACAAGATAAAAAAAACGTTGAATTTCCTCTAGAAAATGATGAAGTTTTTTTTTACCTCTTGCTTCCCTATAATTATTTTGTGCAAGATGTTAAACAAACAATATTTGTCATGGTTTGATCTGTTGTTATTGCAGAAACCAGAGCATCAATGGAAAGGAGAAAGCATCTAGCTACCCTTCAAGGGACCGGTGTCTCGACATCCACTGCATCCTCTGCTGCCTCCGCCTCCACCACCACCACCACCGTGGGCGTGGCATCCACCTTACCATCAGGGGGGAGGAACTTCACCATACCCCTCCCCCTGACCCACCACAAACAGTCACCACCATCAACCACCAGATCCCTCAAGGCCGGACCGGCATGGGCACATAAGAAGAACAAGTCCGACACGGCGCTGGGAAAGAACGCGATCGAGTCGGGGGGCGGACAGAAGGAATCAAGCAACCAGCTCTCGCCCCGAACCCTCCTCTCAAAGTCAACCAATAATCTAGGGACGTTCACCCGCCATGGAGGCCCTATGGCGTCAAGCACACTGCCCTCTGTTGTCACCGAGCTGCTCAACTCCGTCATGATCAATGCGCTGGAGGGGTCCCAAGGTGGCGACAAGGAGCAGTCCCATGCATTCTCGACGGCGTCGACGGCGCAGCAAAGAACAGCGATGTATGTCAAGAACCATGGGGTGAGTGCATGAGTGAGTGATAATCGAACGTGTTTCAAGCTTTGTGGTGAGTGAATAGTGTCAATGCCAAGCATCAACATTAACCTACAACTGTACTAACCCATTGGATTTATATGCAAGCACACTAATACATTATATGACGCTGTAATGTGCTTTTGAGTGTGCAGACCATATGTATATAGACCCTGTATTTGTATCCTTGTTATGAAATGTTATTATCGTGTACATTGGACCACCTCTTGAGAAAAAAACCCATAATTTTAAAGAAATTTTTGCAAGTATTTAACATGCACTATGTTAATTCAAATGTGATTTTACGCAGGCATTAACAAAATGACATCCTTGCTTGGATGAAGAAAAAAATATTTCCCATACATATGTTTTGGTGTTTGCAAAATTCAAAATGTTTCATTTGATAACACCACCATTATGAGCACCTAACTGTCATCTGCAAATTGCATCTAACCCATTGGATCACACTATATGAGAATTAAAGAATTCAGAAGTCAACGGCCTAGCGAAGCCCTGTACAATATTGATTTTTAGTTTCTCTACCCCTCCCTCATTTTTTCAATTTTTGCGATGAATTTTTTGTTCTTATAAGAAATTTTTGTAAAGTGAGGAATCTACTCTATGAATTACTCAAAATTATGAAATTGATGCAATTTGAACTTGTTTTGAACCTCCGTTTTGTATTGGAAAAGTGAAATATTATCAAGAAAAATTATGATGAAACTGACCACATAGTATTTTGTATACAAGAATATTGTCACATACTAACACAAACGCCTCTTTATTTAAAACAAAAAACTACAAATCAATTAGCTTGGCATTCATGATTTGGATTAAATTTGAACTAACTCTTCATAGGCTACATACATGTACGCTTGACATTAACCTTTAACCTGCATATATATTTGCCATTTTTACACTGTGTCTGCCCCTCCGCTGCTTGTCTGATGTTGCACTCACCTACAGAGCACTGTGTTATCACCCAGTACATCTGATGCTGTGCACACAGTCAAGCTGGAGTTCCCTCCAACGGTAAGAATATACCACTCGCTGGCAGGGGTGTCCTAGCTCTGTCGTATTGCTCAATGATTCTTGCAAAGGTTCTGTGTGGAATTCTGTATGAAGAATGACAGAGCCATTATTGTTTTATATAATTTTTTTTTTTTTTTTACTGCAGTTTTCAAACAAACGTAATAGCACCATTTTGTTTTCTGGAAAGATTGGCATATATATCTTGGGTTTGCTGCATTTCATTACAGGTTCTCATCGTTCATCAGATATTAATGAATCATTCATATATCATTCTTTTATTGCGGATATCAATCATCATATCCTGTAACCCTATAAAGTAATGCAGCTCTGAAAATATAATCTGTCAGGACACTTGTTGGACCTTTTTATGGCTATACATATGTTGTAGCCATAATCATTTCCAGCTTGTTTGCTTTGTAACCTACATGTAGGATAAGCAATTTTATATACATGTACAAAGACAAAAATTTCTTTTTATGTTTGATTTTCCTATAGTACCATAGAATTGTCCTTTCCTTCATACCAACCTCGGCAATATTGACATCAAATTTTGGTCATCCGACAGTTGCTTGTGCTTCTCCGACATTTGCTCCAGGCTTTCTTGTTTTAAATATATAGAGATTATTAGGGTTAGGTGTGCAAGTGGGTTCAGGACTTCAGGTCAGGGTAAGAGTTGGTACAGTATATAGTATTTGTTCCAGGGTTTAAGTTCATAATATGTTTTGTGTACAGAAATTGGCTATGGAGCATTTAAAGCCAGAGCATGTGGTGTACAACCTGAATTATACTCTCTTCCTGATTTCTCTAGGCACCATCTGCACTCTCACCTAAGGGCCACCAATCTTTGTTTCCACGGCAACACATGACAATAGACCTTCGGGCATCCTCATCACAGCCCGCCCAGCATCATGGCAACATACATGTGCAGGGGGAGAAGAGTGATCTCAAAGCACTGGGGAGTCTGTGTTTACATGAGGATAGGTAAGCAAGATATTATAGAGAGAGATATATACATATAGAGAGAGAGGGAGGGAGAGAGAGAGGGAGAGGGGCAGGGGGGAAGGGGGCAAAAGAAGGATAGAGAAGACTAAGGCAGAGAGAGAAAAGGAGAAAAAAGAGAGAGAGAGAGACAGAGCAGGGGGGCAGAGAAGGATAAAGAAGTGTAAGAGAGAGAAAGAAAGAGAGAAAGAAAGAGAGAGAAAGAGAGAGAGAGAGAGAAAAAAAAAAGAGATAGAGGGAGGAGAGGGCGGGGGGCAAAAGAAGGATAGAGAAGATTAAGGAAGATTGAGAGAGAGAGAGAGATATAGACAAGCATACACGTAGAGGGGGAGAAGAGTGAACTCAAAGCTTTAGGGAGCCTATGTTTACATTAGGAAAGATTAGCGAAAGTGAGATGGAACAAGAGAAGGAGAGACAGATCTAGACAGGCAGACAGAAGCTGGCAGAGGCAGAATTAAAGATTAAGAACTTCAAAATTGACTAATTCTCTGGGCAAAAAAGACAAGAAATTTTAAAAATAGGGGTTAACTGATAGAGATTTATATACAGTATGTAGATATTAACAAATACAGAAATACATCAAGTACATGTAAGGAGAGAAGAAGAAAATAGAGCAACTGTATGTGTTCTGAAACAGGTTTGGCAAGGGGAGAATGAACAGAAACATGTAATGAAGTTTGAAGTTTTATTTATTCCACATTTTATATAGAAAAACAGTTTACCTTTATATTCTTTTTTTTAAATTTTTTTTTATACAGATGTATATTATTATAAGAGTAGATTTCATTATTAATCTTGTCCTTATTTTGATATTTCTTTAGTTCATGAATTAGTAGTTATGTGTAATTTTGTTGTATTAATATTGTAAAGCGCATTGGTATTTTCTTCGAAGATGAAATGCGCTATAGAAACCTAGGTTATTATATTATTATTAAGAAGAAAAAATTAAAAAATTAAAGATTTCAAATCAAATATAATGTACGGAAAATAAGAATAAAATTTTGAAATATGTAAATATAACGGGCAAGGTAGTACAATGTAAAATGTGAGGTCAGAAAAGAAAGAGAGAAAGAAAGAGGCCAGAAAAGCAGAGACAGGAGTGGAGATAGAATCTAATATTAACAAAAAATATTAAATGGAGTAAGATAAAAACTTAGAGGATAGCTGGAGACAACATGATAGCTAGGCATGTTGATCAATTGTTGAGGTTAACAATAGCGCTACCCTGTCAGAAGTACAATGGAAGAGTCTTCTGGCTGGAATGCTCCCCAGGGAGTGGAAAATGTGCATACATTGTGTACATGTACGAGTAAGCCTGAATCTGATGACCGGGGTAATAATATTTCTGTAAAGCGATTAGGCACATTGTTGTATTGATGTATTGGGCGCTATATAAAAGCGGAATATTATTATTATTATTACAATGGAAGAGTCTTCATTCTCCCTCCACTATCTCCTCACACACAGTCAGCAGGACTCGGCCGACAAGACCAAGAAGAGACGGAAGAAGGTGAACGGACCGAAACGACGCAGCATCTCCCACAGCCCTAGCCGCAAGTCCCAGAAGAACTCCCACCGGGCGGCGCTGACCAAGGGAGGTAAGCACAGCGGGACAGACAGCGACCCTGAGCGATTGATGAACCGCAGAACAACGGAACGGACGAGGCAGAGGTCACTTACAAGCAGCCTCTCAGATCCTACACCTAGTAAGTAATTGCTGTGGATTTATGATACAGTCAAACCTGTCTATAGCGCCTGCCCAAGGGAAACACAAAAAGTGTGTATCTTTGTAGATACATGTAGGTTCCTTTGGTACATGATTCAATGAGAAACCATTTTCAAAGGGAAACAACAAATGTGGCCTTTGTAGACAGGTTCCTTTGGTAAACGATTCAATGAGAAACCATTTTCAAGGGGAAAAAAAATGTGGTCTTTGTAGACAGGTTCCTTTAGTACATGTTTAAATGAGAAACCATTTTCAAGGGAAACAAAAAATGTGATCTTTGTAGACAGGTGGTCAAACTCACTAAAGCAGGTTTGACTGTATTTGCTTCTGCAACACTATCTAACTCAAACCTTAGAGCTAATTACTAAAACCTGATTGGAACCCTAACCCTTATCTAATATATTTGACAAAATAAACCCCAGACCAAATGTAGCAGTACCAAATGTCAATTCTCGATCCAATCACTGTAAATGCCAGAATATTTTTTACTTCAGATATTTTTGCAACTGACAGGGACACAGATATTATAACACAGGCTACCTGCTACTTGTCCACACATGCATTATCACCTCTTTTTTCTCTTTTTCGTTGTCATAGTTATTATTGGTGACCATGGATCTATTTGCAAAAGGTACAGAAATAAAAACCCTTGCGAAAAATAACAGCTTATAGAGTAAATTATGGATGCTAGGCTGACTTGATATAGATGACATCAAATTAATTTAGAAATGGGCATTAGACAAATTGGTCATAAAAAGTAATAATTTAATTAGTTAATTACACAGAAATCTTGATTCTTTGTATCTTTTTAACGGTTTCACAGACGATTTGCACCCAATGTCTGAACACACTACTTTTGCATCTCACGGGGACCGTCGGAGAGACAGTACACCAAAGAGGTAAGTTGCAATTATTGCTTCCACCTTGCAATCTTTCATCTTTCAACATGTGTGTTTCTTGAATAGTGAACATGTGTTTCAGTCTCTACTCCTAATATCATTCTATTTCACAATGGTGTTTGCATTCTTAATAGTTTACTAGTGATTTTTTTTTCCCTGTTTGGCATATTCATATGTGTAAATATTGTGTGTGGTAAATGTGAAATTTGTATTAATGAGTTTCCTGAATGTACTAAAATTTGCATACAAGTCTTTTTTCCCCTTTTAATTCATTCACTTGAATTATTATTTTTTTTTTTAATAGGTTTTTATTAAATGTGTTTTTTAAAGTGGTGCAGAGATGGTGCTGGTTAATTTTTATGTTTGAAAAAGTCTTAAAGGTAATACAAAGTTTTGGGAAATTTTGAAAATTGGCTGGATAGTGATTCTTTACAATTTTGAAATAATTTGATGCCCCTGTGGATGTATTATAAGCACTAGAAAATTTAACCCCTAAAACACTTCTACTTTCGAGAAAAAATGAATATGAAAATTTACCGGTGCTCCGGGTAAATTTCGATATTTTCAAATAGCACCTACGGCCATACAATGGTAGCTGCGACCTTGAAAATCTCAGAATATGTAGTTGTGATATATAATTTCTAAATAGGAATAGCCAATCGGTCGATTTTAGTTACGAAACATTTTTTTATGGCTAAATTAATATCCTGACCTTGAGAGGGAGCCATACATCGAAAGTTTATTATTTACAATTTCATCACTTTACCTCGATTTCAACCGCGACAACGATCACCGAATATAGTGGGATCGCATATGTTTCCAATATGTTCATTTGAACCAAATTCATGACCCATACCAAAACTTTGTATTACCTTTAAAGTTTGTAAATACTGTGGTGATTAAAGATTTGTTTGTACCTACATGTCCTCAATTGTATAATACATTTAACTTTGCCCCTTTTGTTTTCCAAATATATTTTCTTATGTTTGCACTTGGGCTGAAAAGCCTTTTTATTTTTTGAAGGTTGGGGGGAAATGACTGATTTGATTCTAAAAATAGCTGCCTCAAATCCTATCTCATACGATTTCATACTTTTTTCCTTTCCTTTCTTTTCTCTCACATCTACACTCTTCGTTGTAACTAATTTCCTTGTTCTGTCGCTCCATCTTTTGTGTGTTGTTGAGTGCAGTTTTCAAACCATGCAGCAGCACCTTCTAGCCCTCTCACAGCCTCACAATGCTGGTACGTTCATACTTTCATTCCATCACTCAATCAAAATCATATTTCAATAGACCATTTTCGTAATGTAACCAAACTTAAAGGCCGTCTGTACTAGTTTGACTAGGAGGGATTAGACCACACAGGAAGGTCACTGACAGGTGGCTTTCTCATTAACTCAGCTCTCAATTAACATGAGGAAAAGAGGATCATGGGGGACCAATGGTCACCGATTAGGCATTGTTTTCTATATAGAGGGAGCAAGTAGCTACAAGTAGTACAGTGGGCCTTTAATGCATGTATTTCAAGAGTTAGAATGCTTATTACATATGTTACTTGTTGTTAGGTCAGGCAAGATATAATGTTCTCCCTACCTGACAACAACTAATGTATGCAGTTTGTATTCTGACTATTGAAATACAATTATGCATATCAGATGAATGCAATAATTTGTCTTTGGTCGCGTATGCATTAGATTTGGTTACATTACAAAAATGGTCAGTTCCTCAGCTCCTCTTTAAGGTTGTTTTGCATAATAAGTGGAATGAAAAGCTGAGTTCAGAATTCAAAAGGCATGATGTAGTTGAATTATAAGTTTTTATTTGACAGCGGTATCTATCTGAATGAAATTTTCAGTACAATAGGCCCAATCAAGGTCCAATGTACTAGTACCAGTACATGTATTTCCCAGTTCCATATCCTAACAATACCTGTATGTGAAAAATTATTAATTCAACTATGTACATTTTGTGTTCCAGACATATTATTCTGTGCCACCTCAACAGAAACAAGAGAAAAGGGTGCTCTATTCTAGCATTGTTTTGCTTGTGAATAATACTGATAATGCAGTGGAAAGAGTTTGATTTTTTTTTTCTCTCTCTCTCTCTCTCTCTCTTTCTCTTTCTATTTCTCTCTCTTTCTCTTGTGCTTACTGCTCTGTCATTGAATCATCAATTCAGTTTTGTTCAGTTTTTCTTGTAAAAATGAAAATGTCTTTTTTTTGGAGCTTTTTGAGGCTTAATTAATTTATTTTCTTTTTCACTGCATCAGATGACTGCTTCGCTGAGTTTATAACAATTTTTCTTTCTTGCTCTTCTTTCAGGAGTCGCTCGATTGGCAGTATGCAAGAACCTTCCTACCTTAAATCCAAAGTAGGAAGCCCGATCAAGAAATCAAACTCCTTCACTGGAGGACGGGTAAGTACTCTCAAGATACGGTGGTGGGTGGCTCGCGATTACATAAAACTCTGCCAGAAACGAAGGATTGCAAAAATATCAACAGATTTTTGCAGCTCGGTGATTTCGTAAATCATACAATGAAAGCGCAACGAACGTATTGATTGTAGCGTTGCGGATGGGCTCTCATGTATTCTTGTTTCCGAGAAATATGAAATAAAATACATTTTGTGTTGCATTAAAAAAAATGCTACAAATATTCCAGAGGGTGAGGAAAAGCTTATGCAATGCATAACAATTGATTATTGAGTAACTTGATCACAAAATCTTTCCAGAATACGTTTGTCACTCCATACATTTGTTACTCTACACGTTTGTTACTCTACAGCTCCCAACTCCTACTGCTAATTAGTTTTTTTTAATGATATGTACCCGCTGTCTATTTTACAATTGTACTTCGTTAACTTTATGATGTAATCGCAGACACATGTACAGCCCAATTGATGTAACTTTCTCTTTATGGGTGAACATGCCTTCCTATACTTAATTCTCTCCTTTCTTCCTTTCACTATTTTTTCTTTCCTATCAACGTTCTTTTATAAACAATGTAATTTTCATAATAATATCTATAATGTTCTTTCGGTAACTGTGTTAATTTATTATGGGCGTTCCCAACTCAAGCTATGCTTTCCGGGTTTTCGCTCCTTCCGTATCTGAATTATTTACTGTATACTCTATGTTGAAATAATTGTTACATATATCATGTATGTATATACATTGTGTTTTATATTGTGCTGTTGAGAAGGAAATAAATGTTAATAAATATAATACAAAATACTAGTTGGAGGAACTCATTCTGTGTTATAAGATACAGAAATGTGAAGCGTATTTCACCTGTACGTCAAAGACGAAGAAGTTTGCCGCATCATATCTTAATTAGCCTTAAAACCCCACTGCACTACTTATAGCTAATTGCGCCCTCTATATATAGCCAACAATGCCTAATCGATGACCATTGGTCCCCATGGTCTCCTTTTTCTTAATTTAGAGCTGATTTGATGAAAAAACCACCTGTCAGTGACCATGCTGGGAGGTCTAATCCCTCCTGGCCAAACTAGTGCAGATAGGCTTTAAAGGGCATTGTCAAGACCCAACCACTATTGTGTTTCCGATAAAACATGTACAGATTATGTATTCTTGATACTTATTTCATGAGGGAATGGCTTGCCGTGGGCCATTGAAATCCCCCTGAGCTAGATTTCTTGAATTCTTTGTGATCATAGTGATGACATTTTCTGATGTTGTTGTCATGTAGTATGATCATAAAGTAGATGACCAACATTTAATACTTATAGATATACATTATTTCAACCTGTTTCAAAAAGATATTTCTGTTGTCTTTCCAATTCTAATCTTCAGAGAGATTCCAGTGTTTCCTACCAAGTGGTTGAACTGAATGAGTTACTGCAAAGGCGGCAGTCTCAGAAAACACCCATCCCAGTCAAGAAAATTGGTTTCTGGGTAGATTTCTAGCCCACCTTCATTGGCTTCCTGAGTTGCTAGTTACACCCATAGCTAGTAAAGAGGAGATAGATGCGTCACAGGAAGTCACATTCGTTCATAGGTCAGATTCATGGGTCACAGAAAATACCCATCCCAGTCAAGAAGATTGGTTTCTGGGTAGATTTCTAGCCCTCTACATTTGTCATCGTTGGCTTCCTGAGAAGCTAGTTACACCTGTAGCTAGAGAAGAGGAGATAGATGCGTCACAGGAAGTCACATTCGTTCATAGGTCAGATGCATGGGTCACTGAAGTAGTTCCTCCCATATGAGAATGAAATGGCATTTGAATATGCATCTATCTATGTCACAGATAACTCCATGAATATGCTATGGTTCATACTCCAAATGCTGGGGCGGCGACCCAGAAGGGGGAGGGGGGTTGATTTTTTTTTCCTGATGGTTATGACAAATTTGAAAAGATGTTGAAAGTGTAAGTTATGCTTGATCATTATGCAATATGCAGTGTTATAAATGTTTGCTGTATAAGTCTCAAAACATACCAAGTTACGTCTCTTTTCATTTAGAGAAGAGTGGATTGATTAAAACTTTGTTTGAATTTTAAATAAGGTAGTGCAGTGACAGAAGGTAATGAAATATATAAATAATGAATATCTGCAAGTACAGTTGAAAATCTATAATATTTCAAACATTCTGTGATTTTTTTAAATGAGGTGTGGGCATGCAATAACCTGTAGTTCCTTTGTTCTAGAAATGAAAAAGATATTGCTCAAAACAATTGTACCATATATTTTTTACTATCTAATATTCAGAATATTTAATTTTTTCGCGTTGTGAATTGACTTGAAATTCAGTACTCCATGGGGCTTAATATTCTAGGCAATTTAATTGTTTATTGCCGTTTGCTTTGCTGCGATTTTGTATAAATCATCTTTATGAGCTGCAAGGATACATCGTGATGTCACTTCAAATTTAGTTCAGGGGTTGTGAACTTAGAGGCTGTTATTTGCAATGTCACAGACTGCACACGTTTTACTATGCATAATTCGATTTGAATTTATTCCATTTCGTATCAATTGTTTGCTAAATGAAGAACATAGTTGACAAAGTAAGTTCAAAATTATGAAATGAAACAGGAACCTACTGGAAAGCATAGCTTGTTTTTGTAAGTTCCCAAGAATAAAAATGATATGAACATTTGGGACAAGATACATGAACATTTATTTGACTTACATTTTGTCAAGTGAAGGCTCATATTTTGAACATACATGTAGTATTATAAATGTATGGCATGGAACTACATGAACTAACAGAGATGACAAAATAGTTTTGGGTGATTGGTACACTTTAGAAATACATGATGTTTGTAAACACCAGACAGTATGAACAACTACGAGGAAATTGACATACGTAGTCTTTCTGTAATACCAAAGGTTGAAGTAGCCTACCAAATATACTTTGATCCATTCCACTGTGTTATCTACATAAGATAACATTTGTATGATTGTAAGTATGTATTGAAGTGATGAATTGATGCTTAATTATGTTGTTTGGTATGAAATGTGTGAATATCGGGATAAAATTGAGATTTATCCTCTCTGACACAGTATGAGCTCTTAATCATTAGTCAGAAGTTGGGTATTTTACTTTATAATATGACCTTGGCATATCCGGACACCTACCCCCTGGACAGCCACCCCCGGATAACCACCCCTAGGATAACCACCCTGACAACTACCCCCTAAGACAACTTCCCCCTACGACAACTATCCTTTAGGACAACTACCCCCGGACAACTATCCTAGGGGGTGGTTGTCCAAGGGGGTAGTTGTCCTGGAGGGTGGTTGCCCTAGGGGGTAGTTGTCCTAGAGGGTAGTTGTCAGGGTGGCTATCCTAGGGGTGGTTATCCGGAGGGTAGTTGTTCAGGGGGTAGGTGTCCTGGAACCGACCTTGGAAGTAATATTTTACATCTTTTTGCCAGTATGTGTCTATGTATTTTATTTATCAACAAGTATTCTATGCGTAATGTAGGGAGAACACCTTTTGAAAATTCTTGCCAATTTAATGACTATCGATTGCAATTATTCACAAAGGGATCTAAGTGTTGCCAATTTGTTGATCATCAACACTTTACAAAGGGTGATAATTCTTTTTACCTAATATTTGTCTGTTTACGATACTTTATCAGGTTATGATTACTTACATGCACTTGTAGGTGATAATTTGCATAATTATTAATTGTTGTAAAAAGGCAATATAGTCTATTATATTCTGTGGACATTTATTGGCAAATTTGATTTAGGGTAGAGCTAAAAACAGAGGAGTTATAGGATATTAGATGAATTAATTTTATTCTTGAAATATATTTTACATATTTATAGTACCGTCATCCCGTCCAGAAATTAATATCCAAAGCAAGCTTTTTATCTCTTCGTTTTCAAAGTTTTTTTTATTTGAAGTATTTAAGAAAATGTAAATATGGTTTATGTATATTTAAAGTGTAAAGTTATCTCCTTTTTTAGATATGTAAAAGAGCAGGAATTCAGAAATAGGTCATTTGTTTAGCTGAAAGGTCACATGCATGTACAGTCCGGGTACATTAATAATGTTTTCTTTTGACAGGGTCAACTCTCTTATGAATTTGTATTAATGCCCTGCGAAGCAATCTGGATTCCCGAATTTATGTCAATTTGTAGTGCTGGCCTTCGTGTGCAGTTTACTTACAAGTGTCTTCAGCTTTTAACCTTAACATGTAAACTTTATTCTGTTGGGAGTGAACAATACAAGTATGTGAGAAAGAGGAAAAAAAGTACATGTAGGTTTATTTATTATCTTTTTACTCCAGCATTGTCAGCAGATATATAACAATTTTTTAACTCTCATTTTTGTAAGTAATTAGTAAAGTGCAGTATATAAAGAAGTGGAAATATATCCCACCTCTATCGAGAAATCTATAAGAATAGAGATGACAGCGATTCAAAAAAAAATGTGTTAAGATATATGATTGCTACTTGCTTATTTGAAAGTTGTGTATTTGTGTTGTACATGTATTTATTGAAAGAGAGCTGAGGCATTATTCTTTCATAATTAGGTGCTGCCTTTTTATGAATAAATCAAACTTTTTGTGCTGTGAAACTAAAAAAGGAATTGTGTTACTTTCTTTACTTATGGTTGATTAATCCAGAGTGATTGAAATGTGTTTATGTGTGTATGTGGAGAGAGGGGGGGGGGGGGGGGGGGGGGGGGGGGGGGGTGTCGACGTGTTCATGTACATATTCACAGGCAGAATGAATAGCTTGAACACATCACTGAATGAATAAGTGGAACCACAAACTTGTAGTAGCCTGATTTTCTCTGTAAAAGCCTGTCATTTTCATTGATAAAAGGGGGGAGTAGCTATTAAAGGTATCTTCCTTCCTCCCGACTTTCCATTAAAAATTCTCTCTCTATCTCTATCTATCTCTCTCTGTCTCTCTGTCTCTCTCTCTCTCTCCCTGTTTGGAAACTGGAATATTAAAACAGTTTCCAAAAGCCAAAGAGACGATTAAAAAAAACAAATGAAACAAAAGTGGCACGAGATAAATCCATGTCTTCTTGATATTTCACAAATTAATGAATATCACTTCAATATTTATTGCCGTATTTGACAATCGCACATGACCAGGGGCGGATCTAGGGAGGGGGTAGGTGACTTGACCCCCCCCCCCCTCCTCTTGGGCTGACCCCCCCCCCCCCAAAAAAAGAGGGGTGGGGTAGTGAGTACTAATTTGTTTTCTTCATCCCCCCCCCCGAATTTCAATAAAGTGCCGACCAATAGTTTAGGGGGGGGGGGGGGGGGGTAGAAAAAGAAAAAAAAAACTCACTTGAATATTTATTGCTGTCTTTGACAATACACTCGCACATGACCAGGCGGATCTAGGGGAAGTTAGGGGGTTTAACCCCCCCCCCCCCTCCCCCTTGGGCTGACCCCCTCCCCCCCAATTTTTTGTTGTTATTTTTTTCATTTTTATTAGTGCTTTCTCGGCACTTTTTTGAAATTCGGGTGGCAAAATGAAAAAAAAAATAAAAAAGTACTCACTACAACACTGAGCGAAATATTGGTCGGCGCGATTTTCAAATTTTGCTGGGTCGACCCCCCTCCCCTTAGCAAAAAGCTAGATCCGCCCCTGATGACTGCTGAACACGTAGGCCTACTGTACAAAACACTGCTATTCACAATTGTATACAATTTTCTTGGACATCTTTGTCAAAATGTCAAACAACAAAAATTAAGTCGCAAGGGAAGTCCATTATTGGGGGGGGGGGGGGGGTAAGAAGCTATTTTTTCTCCAATTCTTTAGGAAATATTTTGCAGCGGCTTAGAAAAACAATATAGAGAAGAGAAATGATTTACTATCATAACTATATGTACTTGAACAATTTATTCAAATTATGCTAACAACAGCCAAATTATAATGCCAGATGCTAATAAAAGGGTCCAAATTATGCCACAAAGCATAATTTAGCCAGATCTGGCAACGTTGCATAGGAAACGCTTGAGTTACCCGAATTCGGTTATCTTCGCCGACATCGTGGTCCCATCTCGATGTCATCGTAATATAATACGATGCATGGCTAAAAACACGACGTCATGTGAGCGCTCGCGTAGTCGTGTTGCCTTAATTCCTAAGACAATCCGCGGGCAGCTAATTGTTCCCTTCGTATTGTCTTCGTGGGGCGTAAAAAGGCCCTGAATATTTGTCTTGTTTTTAAGTAGGTATATTTCACCTTTTATCTTTGATAATTATCTAGAGACATCTCCCGCCCCTTATGGTGACGAAAAAAGGAAAACATGAACACATATAATCGTATCGTAATTTGACTTCCTTGTGGGAAATTTTGCCCCACCAGGGTGCCCCCGACTGACCTTATCCAGGCTATGCCAATGCGATATGAAGTAGACCCAGCAGGCCCATTTTCATAGTTATTTAAGGACTGAGTTTGCTATTTCAGACATTGTCATTGCTTATACGACCATTATGTTTTTGTAGAAAGTAGCTTTTATTAGGACTTATGGACCTACAAATTGTATAGCGGGGTTGTGCCGGACCCAGGGGCGTCGCTAGACCTTTTTCAGTTGGGTGGGGGGGGGGGGGGGTATAGAGGCCAACAATTACCGACAAAATACAATACAATACAATACGTGGAGGGGGCAATTTAGAATTGTGATTTGTTTAAGACTTTGGGGGATAGGGCGCTTGAACACTTTCGGACCTTAACGGTTTTCGCGTCGTGTATCGTACAAAGAGGTACCGGTAATGCAATCCGAATATGAATCAAACATTGTCTTTTATTGTTGGGGTGAGGGTGATGGTGATGGGTAAGGAGGTCTGATAAGGTCTTTTTAGTGCAATACTAGCCCTCGTGGCAACGAGGGGCCGGATATAATGATAGATACAGAACAAACACAGGAAAATACGGAATGTTAAAATAAATATGAACGCAGGTTCAATAAAAAATAAACATTAATTAATTCGAGACATGGTGAATTCAAAGCAAACACACAAAATATATGTTATAGTTTTTCGAGTCGATATATACATCCTTAAACGTTCACACACGAAATATATATAATAAATTACTTTAAATAACCAAACCATAATAAAAAAGAAAATATACAATAAAGGGAACAAATAGAACGAAGATTAAGGCGTGTGAGTTTTTTGTTGAAATAAGTAAGAAACCTAAACCTATAGTTGTTGGTTGCGTTTATCGTCCACCAGATTCTGACATATCTTGTTTCAATGAGAAAATACAAAGTGTTCTTGAAATACTGGAAAGTGAGAAGAAAGACTTATATATTTTAGGGGACTTTAACGTAAACTTGCTTAATTATGGTATCCATAATAAAACAAATGACTTTTTAGATATGATGCTTTCTTTTAATTTACTTCCCTTAATAACAAAGCCAACTCGCATTACTGAAAATAAAGCATCCTTGATAGATAACATATTTTCAAATACCATACAGGAAGAAAAATATACAGGACTCATTTATAGTGATCTATCAGATCATTTTCCAGTATTTTCAATTGCAAGTGAAAGAATTGTAAAGAATGGTAACAAATACATAAAAAGACGCATTATTAATGATTCATCAATGTC